AGTTCAGAGATAGATAATCCAGGGCTATGTGGCAGCTCTATGATAGTGTCAAGGAACCAGTCTCCTTCTGTCTTCCTGCTCTGCCATTGTTAGTGTGTGACTTTAGTCCTGGTGGTTAGTCATGGTCCCAAGGTGGTTACTCCTACCTTCTGCAGCGCATCCTACTTCCAGAGAAGGGGAAGTCAAAAGGCTGAGCAACTTTCATAGAAGAGACAACAAGATAAAACTGGGAAAGCAAGTGTGTTCGTTGGAAACTATTCCTAGAAAATATATCAGAGATTCTGGAATGGAGCTCGTGAGGTGTTTATAGGCTACCCAAGGCTAGTAACTGTCAGGGAGAAAGAGGTGAAGAGCCATGAGATTGTTTGGAAGTCTTATCTCAGTTGATTCCATTTAGCTAGGCCTTCTCCAGAAGGCATGAAAATATCAGCCCCTCTTGCAGGGTGCTGGATCTGATGAGGGCGAGCCATAAGGTAAAGAGGAGATAGCTGTTTTTCTCGAGACAACTCTCTGCAGGAAGTGCTGACAATCTGGATGAGCCTCAAGCTGGAAAACCTCATGCTGAGTCCCAGCTTGTCAACTCATCAGCTACTCAAGCTGATTCTCTGCTTCTGTATCTGCAAAGTAGGGATTATATCATTTTTTTTTTTTTTTTTTTAATATATCTTTATTGATTTCAGAGAGAGGAAAGGAGAGGGAGAGAGAGGGACAGAAACATCAATGATGAGAGAGTCATTGATCGGCTGCAGCCCGCAACCCGGGCATGTGCCCTGACCGGGAATCGAGCCCTGATCGCCTGGATCCTAGGTCGATGCTCAACCGCTGAGCCACGCCTGGCCGGGCGGGATTATATCATTCTTAAAACACTGTTGTGGAAACTAAATGAGATAAAATATAAATTACTATAAAATCATTGAAAATATTAGTATTGTCTGAACTCTCCTCCTTACCCAGTGGAGCCTAAAGGGATAACTGAGGTGGGATACCAAGGAAAATCTAAAAAACAACATCCATATAGAATCATACATATGTCATATTTTATGCCTGGCTTCTTTCATCATAGCATGTTTCAAGCTTCAGCCATGTTGTAACATGCATCAGTACTTCCTCTTTATTGCCAGGTAATATTCCATTGTATGGATATGCCACATGTTATGTATCCATTCATTCCTTGATGGACGTTTGAACTGTGTTCATTTTGGGGCTGTATTAAATAATACTGCTATGACCATTTGTGTACAAGTTTTTGCGTGGACATATGCCAAAGGAATATCAGGGAGAACACAGAGAAGGCTGCTCTGTGAGGGTTTGTCTGCTGCTGCTGCAGTGATTCCCTGGTTCTCCTGCTGCAGGCACTGGACGCAGAAGTCATGGGACTTCCAAAGACAGAGATGCCAGGAATCAGGCAGGCCCCTGCTGTCTACCTTCCCTCTCTCACTCTAATGCCAGGGCACTGGTCTGGACTTGCAAAGATTCATAATGAGCATTATTTCTGGTTGCTGAAGAAGGAGTTGGCTTTGGTTTACAAGCTAGAGTCTCCTTATCACCTTTGGCATGTTAGATACTCTCTCCCTGAGCTTCAGGTTGTCTTATCTGGGAGGTGAAGGTAATAACTTGCAGAGTTCATTTGAGGCTGAGAGACAATGCCTGTGAAGAAACCTATTCAGATCAGGTGCTCAGCTAAAGGATATTTACATTGTTAGCAACTTCCCTGTGTGGTAGGACGCTGAAGACGCAAGGGCACAGGTCAGAAACGGTGTGGTACAGAGCTCTTGGAATGACTTAGCTGTTTTAGGAACATTTAAATCACTTTTCCCTTAAGCACTCTATTCGTTTGCAAAGGCTGCCATAACCAAATACCACGGACTGGGGGACTTAAACAGCAGAAATGTGTAGCCTCACAGTTCTGGAGGCTGAACATCCGACGTCAAGGTGTTGTCAGGTTTTGTTTCTTGTGAGGCCTTTTTCCTTGGTTTGCAGATGGTCACTTTCCCTCTATGTTCTTGTATGGCTCTTTCTTTGTGCACATACATCTTTGGTGTCTCTTTGTGCATCCAAATTTCCTCCTCTTATAAGGATACCAATCAGATTCCTGATTGGATTACCACCCCCAATGGCCTCATTTAACGTAATCACCTCTTTAAACACACTCTCCAAATACATGCACATCCTGAGGTACAGAGGGTTAGGGCTTCAACATATGGATTTTTGTGAGACACAATGCAGCCCACAATAGCATCTAGAGAGCACCTGCTCTGGGAATATGAAAGAGGAAGACTTAGACCTTGCCCACAGGAAACTCAAGCTTTTGGGAGAAACAGACAAATAGCAGATCATTATAAAATGCCTTTTCTCCCTTTAGCCTATGTCTCAGGATTTAATTTGCAATCTCTGCAAATGTATCATCAAATATACAGTCAGCATTTTGACCCCTGCAGAAACCCAGTTCAATCAGCTGTGAACTCTTCAGGTCTTTACCTACTAAGAGGAGAAGAATTTATCAGAGTCCGTTTTAGAAACACGAAATGGGTTAGCCAAGAACTCAGAAAAACAGGGCCAGACCGAAGCAAAATGAACAAGTAGTTGAGATGGAAATTTGCCTTTAGATACTTCTTTACCTCTCTTTCTGCCAAAGTTTTAGCAACCTCCAAACACAGCCAGCCAGGGGCTACCCAGACTCCCTGTGTGCTTAGCAGCCCAAACTCAAGGCTGCTCCATCTCCTCCCCACACTCAACCACCCCTCCCCTATGTTTTTGCTCTCTGCCTTCTAAGGGGATAGAGGCATGAAGTTAAGAATTATTGAGCACCTACCGTGTTGGACAATAATTAGACACTTTACATATGTCATCTAATTTGATCCTCAAAACAGCTCTATTTCATTTTATTTTACAGATGAGGGGGCTGAACTATATAACATACCCAAGGTGACACAGTCAGTAAATAGCATCCTTAAATGCAGATCTTTCTAACTTCAGAAAGACTTTCAGACTCAGCTCTTAGTAGAGTGAACAGCCATGGCTGATTACACTGGTTGTTAGTCTTTGGCTGGGTTCCTTAGAAGCAGTGCCTGAGGGTGTCTGTGACTTACTGAGGGTATGCTCTGGGGAGAAAGGAGAAGGGGAGGCAGAGAAAGGAGCAGAGCGGGATGTGCTCTGGGCTGGCCTAGCTTCAGCCAGACCCCATGGTGAGCTCTGAAGCACAAATCAACCGCAGAATGGCTCTACCTTGAGGCAAGAGAGTCAGTCAGTCACAGGCTACAGGTGTAGCGCCTCCGGGCTATTCCCCAGAGCAGGTGCGGCCTGAGCCTATAGCCCCTGAGCACCAGATTCCTGAGCATCAATAGTTTCCATTTCTCACAGACTCTTGGGGGAATTTATATTCTAAAGAGAAGACTCCAGGGAAAACAATGACTTCATCCAAAGGAGTGTACCTTTTACCACTTCAGATCCCATAACAAGTTATTATAGGAGATACTTTTGCATCAGAGGAAGGGAGATGGGACCTTTCAGAAACCCCAAGTTATAACTATAAACGGCTGTCTGATAATAGTACCTTAAGTTCAAATAGCACTTATTGTTTAACAGAGTGATTTTTATGTACATTATTCATTGGCTCGTCACAGCAACCTTATGGAGTCGATGGCAGGTTTCATTAGCCCCATCCCACGGGGAGATTAAGTGGTTCAGCTACAGAACTTGAGTGTGATAAAGCTGGGCCTGGAACATGCTTCTACCCTGAGAGCTAGTGCCTCATTTCACACCCTGCCTGGTTGGATGACCTCTGCAAAAAACAACACCTCACCCAGGGTGAGCAGACGTCTCTGGTTGCCCGAGAATTTTCCAGTTTTAAAACTGAAAGTGTCACGTTAGTGGAAACCCAGAGCTGACCTATCCATTAAACAGAGAAGGAGGTGCCTAGGGCTCATGATACCTTTAGGGGCCCACAAAAGGCTTCTAATTTTAATTCCTTTTATCAGCAGAAGAAAAATAATAATAATAATAAATATATAATAGGGAAGCCAGCCTGGATTATTATTCATGTTTATACTAACAGTCATAAATATAATTTTTAAGTGTATGTGTGTAAAGGAAGTTTCCAAAAATCTGATATGTCCTGGTGCATTATCAGTTGAAATTTAAAAATGTATGTTACAAAAAATATATATATTTTTTTTAAAAAAAGGAAGAGGCCCATGAAAACAAACGTGCCTAGGATTCACAAAGTCATAATACAGCTTTGGAAACCCAGTCAGGTCCGGGCAAACCAGGACTGTGGGTTGCCTTAACCCCTTAACAGCTTAGGAGTGGTGGTTGGTCATAGCTAAGAAACTCTGGGCTTTCCAAGCAGTGGTTACCTAAAACCATCATTGTTTCCCAGCTCTGTGATTGCCATGCCCCTGGCTGCCCCCCTCTCATCACACCTCTGCTGCCTGGGTTCACCTTGGCTTCCCCAGGAGCCCATGCGCCCTCCTTGGGGAACTCTGCATACCGCACTGTTTCTCTTTATTAACCTGACCAGACACTTGTCTTAGTTAGCTTTTTGTCCCCAACTCCTGGCTCAGTGCCTGGCCTATCATAGGCATCCAATGCACATTTATTATTATTTTTTTTCACTCTCATTCTTTTTAAAAAATATATATATATTTATTGTTTGCAGTATTACAGATGTCCCCCACTCCCCCACAATGCACATGTATTGATTGAATAAATGGATTAACTGATGACCTGATTCAGCCAATTGCTTGTTCTGTAACACTGGGGACACTAAAAACACTCTGGGCCTCAGCTTATTCATCTGAAAAAAGAACACAGTGGAGTAGATGAACTCTCAGGCTCTTAGGGGACACCTGTGTCACGTATTCATTATATCAGATCCTGTGACTTTGTCAATACCATTGAAAAATGTGTCTCATTAGCAATGGGAGAGTCACTTGTAGATTCTTAGAGTCATTGTTGTGTTTTCCCACCCCCATTTTTCTTTTAGATCTGTACTGGAAGGCAGCATGTCCAATTTCTCCTTAAGAAAAACGTCTCCCACAGGAAATGGTAATGTAGATGATTTTTCCCTTCCTCAGAAAACTGAAAAATTTGGGAAAAACACTCACAGGTCCTAATTATTTTATATAGATACTGAATGCTTAGAAGCAAGAGTCTGATTTAATTAGCATTGCTAAAGTTATGCTGAAGAGAAAAGTAAGAATGCAACAGCATTTACTCATATAATTGCAACTCAAAAATTTTTTAAATAAAATCAGTAGAAATGCCCTGTTTTGTGTACGACCTTCTGTGTTTCTCCTGTGAAATTAAAGAATGAAGTTCTTTATAATCAAAAGCACCAGAGCTTTTGATTGTTATTTACTGTTTTGATTGTTATTGACTGTTATTTACTAGGTGTTTTTAAAATAGTCCTGTGTGTACTTCTGAGGCATATTTCTTTCTTGGGTAAAATGGCCACCCACTAAGCTCTGCCCTCGTTTATCCCAGGCCCGTGGTTCTACGCTCCCGGGAGCCAGACGGAGCCTCATGAGCTCTATGGGCAGTTTCAGTTGGCACCTGAGCAGTTATATGTTATCTTTGATGATGGGGTGTGGGATTTGTTTTTTCTTGCTGGTGCATCCTACTTTGAAACAGTGCTGCACTTGCCAGCCGAGGAGGTTGATGTTGGCCAATCAGATGTGCCTGTCGAGATTTCCAGGTTAAGAAACCCACACTCAACTCTATGCATTTACATCACCCATTCTTTCATTTTTCTGTTGATAGCTATGAAGAGCTGCACTCAGGGGAGCACCCAGAGACAACAGGGTTTCCTCGAGGTGAACAAAAGGAGAACTTTCTTACAGGATAACAGCTGGATAAAGAACCGACCTGAAGAAGAAAGGTAAGAGGGTGTGGAGTGGGTGGATGAGTAGAGCCATTCTCCGTTTGGGAAGCTAGTGGCCATCTAAAAAGTGAGTACTTTCATTCTAAAACACTTGGTTGCATGGCCTAATTTTTGGTAAGGTTTATTAAGCATAAACTGGTAACATCAGATTTTCAAGAACATCACTACCATTTTTGCTGTTCACATACCTAAGAGGATGTAAGTCATTGGTGAGAGAAAGCAGGGTTTCATTGTTATAACTAAATAGATGTTTGTGGCAGGGAGATTTCTGGTGCTTGTTGATCATGTCAGTTGAAACTAACAGAACAGTATGAGTGCACATTTAAAAATGTAATAGTAATTTAAAATAATTTAAAATAAAATTTATTTATGCACAAGTGAAGTCAATAAATTCTTAACTTATTTTAGTCCCAGCTAGCCATATACCTCTAGGTGGTGGTAAATATGATCTTACTTTGTAAATGAAAAGACTTACCATTCAGAAAGGTTTATCTGCTTTGAGCATTGTTTCAACTATGATTTTAAAGCTATGATCATAGGCATATTGTCTTCTTGCCAACAAAGATTTACAATCGACATTTGTCCAGCCCAGATATATATTTACTATAAATTATGTATATACATATGCACACATTTTTTTTATTCCCTCTTATGTGTCAGGCTTGACACATCAAGCATTACTTTCCACATCAAGCATTACTAAATCTCACAACAACCACATAAGGTAGGTATTATATCATCATTACACAGATGGGAAATCTGAGCGGTGGAGTTGAGATTTTATGGTCACCATTATCCTTCCATTATACCAATGGTTTTCAATCCAATCAGGGCAATTTTACCCCCAGGGGATATTTGGCAAGATTATACGACACTTTTAGTTGTCGAAAAGGGGGAAATACTTCTGACATCTAGAGGGTAGAGGCCAATGATGCTGCTAAACATCCTACAATGTACAGGACACATCTCAGAACAAAAAATTACCAAATCCATAATGTCAATAGTGCTGAAGTTCAGAAATCTTGCATTTTTAGTAGAAATCTGAATTTACTACTAAACTATCTATGGATGTTTATTTGAGGAGTATGCTTGTAACTGTTAAATAAAAATATCTATTGGTTTCTGTTATTAAATATTATTTTAAGGGACTATGGGGGATATTTGGAGGCTCACACTAACTTTTAGAGTTAACACTCTTGGACAACAATGATTTCCTTCTGTGAAGCAGTGTTTATGACATCTGTCAGAGCCTAATATGGCATTAGGGTGATGTCCAATGTAGAGCATAAATTTTGGGTTGCAAATATTTGCACAGATGGGTGAAGATAGAGATGTCTAAGACAAATTACAGTTGGCAGGAATCATGGTTTTATGCCTTCTTAAAAAGACCCAGGGAAGCCAGCTTGGGTGGTATGACAGCTGCTGAATGAGGGGAAGTTGGCTCTGATGTTTCCCCTACTTCCCCTGGCCCAGTTCTGGGCAATTCGTTATAATTTTTCTTCAGGTAAAAACATGCCTGTTGTCTGCTACTCTCTCCTAAGTTTAGGGAAGGATACCAAGGGAGATAGAGAGGTTCTCTTGGGATTTTTGAGGGTGTATATTTGCTGGAGATGTTTCACTGTTCTTCTTTCTTTTTAATTGTCTACTATGGTTTTTTATGGCTTTATTATAAATGATTTCAGAGTGTTGAGTAATGTTAGTGGAGCAGAACCAGAAGAAATGTGGTATTTCAGGTTTGATTGGGTTGACATGAAAAAGATTCATGTGCTTACTCTCGGCCTTGGCTCAAGACCAAAGGCTCTACTACATGTTTTGACATTTCCTAAAATTGCCTATACTTTCAGGCAATTTTACAAAGTAAGAAGGACATGGCTTTGGAATTTTCTCTCTGATGGTCTTTTGTAGGGTTGACCAATAGGAAAAGCAAAGGTTTGGAATAAAATGATCTGAGTCCTAGACCCACCTCTGTCACTTGCTAACCTTTGGCCTTAAGGAAGACATGAAATCCCTGATCAGTTTCCTTATCTGTGAATTGGAAAAGATAATGTCTTCCCTGCCTAATTCATAGGGTTAAAGACCAAACAGAACAGACTGTGTATTCTCATGGTTCAAAAATGAGTTAAATCTCCTGTGAATAATTACCAAATATTAGCAATTATATTTCTAGTCAAGGAAAACTATCAAGTCCATAAAATGAAGATGCTCAGACATAATGGGCTTAATTAAAATTTAGAACATTTTTATAGAAAACTTTTGCCTTCCTGAAGAAAATGACTCTTCTAATATCTACAAAGTAGATGGCCTTGAGTTCCCACACTCTGATGGAAAATCATAACAAAACAACAAACACTTATTCCATTGTTGAATCACATGGAAATCTTGTGGGATAAGTTAGAATAATGATCATTTGTACTGGCAAACTTGTTTCTTTTACCATGCTCTTTCAAGTGGGGACTGGTTAAAATAAATACATAGTTGTGTTCTTATGCCTGGAGTAAAATGAATTAACCTTGCCAAAAATGGTGAGCTGTTTTATGTCTCCCTTATTTAGCGATTACTAAATACTGTGGCAACTTTTCATGTGACTTCATTCTGTTCTTTCTCTGCAGAGATGAAAATTACGGTAGGGTGGTGCTCAACCGACATAACTCCCATGATGCCTTGGACAGGTGAGTGTTTCAGACGAGTTACGTCATTAGCAGAAACACAAAGGTGGTAGTTTTTGAGAAGACTTGTTCAAGACAGGCGGAATACTTGTGGCTGCCTCAGGCTTTCCCCAACATTCTGGGCACGTGAAGGATACTCTGTGATATCATCAGGGGTTTGCACAGGGCAAACTCTGTGCTTTTCCAGCTCCATGCTTCCAAAACTACAGCTTGAAGAGTAGAATAACCAATCTCCTACTCCTGATGGGGAAAGGGAAAGGGCTCCCACAGAGACATGACCAGATAAGGTATCTCTGAACCTTAGGGAAAGGAACCCTGCAATATAGACATAGCAGCTCCAGAGCTCACTTGCCTTCTGCGATAGTACACTCCTTTTTAGAAACTTCTAGGCTTGTAGAAAACCAGTAAATGATACTCAGTGGCAAACAGACTGACAAAGACAAATTAGTAGGAAAATTCAGACAAAATTAATAAACATAATGATTTAAATAATCTAAGATCGATCAAATAAATAGATAATATTCTTATTAAAACATGTTTACACTAGCACACATACAACCACACCCACCAGAAGAACACAATTATTTATCAGACTCAAGTTTTATCTGGTCCAGTGGCCTGTGTGTCACCAAGAGATACCTGGTAAAGGAGCATAATTGTCTTTCATGGTGTGGGGTTTAAAAAGTTAAGAAGACACCTTCAATATGTCTATTTTGGATACTTTTATTTGTAGACTTTTCTAAACTCTTTTAAACCTTGTCATAATTTCGACCTGTTGTAAGGGAGCCTACAGCCCCCTACACAGAGTGTCCTGTTTTCTGGTTCCCAGCCTCAGTTCATCTGACTGAGTGACTGCTGTGTGATTCAGCTGACTTTCCCTGCGCCTTCTCCTTGGTCTTCATGATTTTGAAGATTACAGTCTTGTTCTCCGCGGGCCTCCATATCACCAAACAAAGGGAGCCTGAGTCCAGCCACCAGTGGAAATTGCTCCCTCCATTTCATTTTTACATGGGACTATTAAAGAACAAACATACTTGTTTTGAAATGTGACTGGGAAAACTAAGCTTCATATTCTCAGTGTGTTTTAGGGTAACAGGACCTTAATGCCTTGTGTGCTTATTTTATATGTGAAACTATGTTGGTTTCCTGAAACCTTCTTGTTGGTTGACAGCATTTTAGCTTAAGCATCACACTGAGCTTTTATCTTCAATAACAAAAAATCTTTAAGCCCAAGACATTTTCCCTTTGACATCTAGAATCCCAAACTACATTTTCCAAAAGGGTAGTAGATTATTTTTTCCTTGCACTTGCTCAAACGGATGCCCACTCGACACTTTTTTGCCCCTTTGCAGAGGCTATATCCACGCTGGGGTTCACTCAACACCACTTGGGAGCACCTGCTGTGTGCTCACATTGTGCCAGGTGCTGGAAATACAAAGATGCGTTAAGATGCCACCCTTGGCCTTAAGGAGCTCTCACACTTATGAAAAATGATGAATCCATAAACTGAAATGCTAAATAAAATTTGCCATGGAAAGTGCTCTTGTAGAAGTGTGAGAGAGTGCTTTGGGGAGAGCGAGGAGGGAGAGATGAACTCTGCCTGAATAGCGGATATGATCATTCGAGCTGGTGCTGCTGCTGCTTGAAGGACGAGGAAAGATTCCCCAGCAGGACAGGGTGGCTGGTGGGCATGGGGTGTGGAAAGAGGTGCTCCCAGCAGAAGTGACAGTGTGTGCACAGTTCCTCGTGAGCAGAGACTAAAAATAAAGGAAACAGACAATAATACATTCTTAGCACCCTAGATAACAAGCTTCATCTTACCACAAACTAGGAAATTTTACTGCGTAGTTCTCTCCCAGATCATTAAAACATGTCAAATAAGAACAAACAGTACCCGCACGGATGCCTACTGTGAGCCAGGTCCTATTGTAAGGTCTGGGAACAAAACAAAACCCCTGCTCTCACAGAACGTGCATCCCAGTGGAAGGTGGAGGAGGGAAGGACTGAAAAGAAATAAACACAAAATAGCACGTTCTGTCGTGGTAAGCGCCAGGGAGATGAAAGCCAGCTAATGAGACGTAGGGTGACAGCGTCCGAGAAGGGGCTGCCTTATGGAAGGGGTTGGATGGCCCTGCAGCACCTGTTTGCATTCATGCGTCACATGCCATGATGAACCAGAGCTTGGCTTTACTCTGAATTTCCTAAAAACTTAGGGAATTGTGTTAGGGATTTTCCGTTGCTTCTTTCTTGCCTTAACTGACACTACTCCCTCTGCTCCGTTTCACTGTGTTCACCTTTATGTAGCCCCCAAGGTCCTGCTCAGACTGCACCAGCCATGAGGCCTTTTCTGACTCCTACCTCTGGAAATAAGCTTTCCCAGCTTAGAACTTCCTTGTGCTTTACCCGAACCTCCTTTATGACACTGACCACTTTCTGCCTTTGGGTACAGGAAGGTATCTAATTTGTCCCTCTAGCTCTGTGTGTGTTGGATCCACAGTTAATTCTTTCTTAATTTCCTCATAGTTATCAGCACTGCGTTGTATACAGTTTACCTCCAAATGTTTGCTTAATAAAAATATACGACATCAAGTTAAAATTAAATCTTAAATATACTGTTTTAGGACTTTTTACAGATTTCATACCTTTGACCTGTCAGCTTCAGATGGTGCTTTGATAAGCAAACACAGTAAATCGTGGTAAAATTCCCCAATGAGCTTGCTTTCCCTGAACCACAGGGTCAGACAAGGCATTAAACAGGCTTTATATTTTTTTTTGCTGATTCATCATTCTGCTCAAGATATTTCCACTGCTTCGGTGATCATAATTCCTCCTATCGAGGCTTCCAGCCTCTCCTCCCTATTTTCTGGTCTTCTTGCCTCTCCCGTCTCGTGTTAGCGCGTCTTCCTCAGCTCCCTGTCTTCCGTTTCTCCCCTCCCCGCTTCTCCCTCTCTCTCCTCCCTTCCCTCCTTCCAACACCCACCTGTTCTCTCTTCTCCCATTTTCTTCCTTTCATTTCCTTCCAGCTTTTTCTGGTTTTCTCTTTTCCTTCCTTCCCTCCCTTCCGCAGTAGGTTCTTGTCTTTCAACCCTGTCCACGGTGCTGAACTTGAAGTGAAGCAAGTTGTGTTCAGCCTGTTGTGCTGCCTTAGGTGCTGCGAAAACTCTGCAAACAAAACAGAGCCGATGGGAAGGGGCCGAGTTCCTGCTGTGTAAAAGTCAGCAACACTCACAAGAGTACATCTTCACCATTTTGTATGCTGTGTTGTTTCCTCAGTTGGAGTATGTTACATTCTTGTTAGAAATAAGCGAGCATAGAGAAGAATTCCTTTACTAGCACGAGGAATTGGGTTTGACGTAATTTATTTTTTCCAAGTCAAAACCTTGGAGTATTTGGATATTGCAAGTCTGTCTTTTCTTGATAATATATACATCTCCTACTGAATAGGCCAAAATTTTACCAAATGCATGATAGGTTTTATAAACTATTTTTTCTTTGTAATTTATTTGATCTGTCTCTAATTATCTTTGCTATAGGAAAACAAAGGAGATAAATGAGCTAAAAGCCACGATTAGCCGGTACAGATCTGATGACAGTTTGGACAGGTAAGGCCTTTTGAACTATGTAAGCAGAAGGCATAACAGATATTAAATCCCATTTCTTATAAAGCATGAGATGTTTAAATGTTCACCAAGGTAAGCTTTGAACCATGATATTTTATATGCAGGCACAGAAAGGCTATAAGAATTGAATTATTTTCTTTATAACTGAAAATCTTGATAACACTATTTTCCTAAAATCCTGCTAATAGTAGATTGATAGGAAAAAAGCGTAAGAAACTAGTTTGAGTATAGGTAGGGTGGGCATTGTGTGGAATCTGTTCAATTTAAAATGGAGAACATAGTATTTGTGAATATGAGTTATCAGTCCTTATTCCAGCTTTTGGTTTTTCCATCCCTAAGGTGGAGAAATAATAGTTTTTTTATGACTGCTTTATGGAGAGACTGTAAATGATGATAACATGACTGTTTTGATCCACTCTAGGATAAAGACATTAGCTCTTTCCTTTAGAAATCGAAACTACTCTTTTGGCCCTGGCATCACCGTATGGCTTATAGAATGAGTCCATTATGTTGTGTCTGTTATAAGGAAAGGGCTCACCTCTGTAGAGAAAATTGAGAAATGTCTATTCAGGTTGAAGTGCAAATGCTACAAATCACACAAGTTTTTTATTTGGTAGACATGCCTAGTAAGCATAAGTAAAGAGCAAAGTTAACATCTTTACTTGGAGTCTAGACACAATGGACACCTGAGGCCATCGATAGTTGAGGTCACTCTCTGTAGCTAGAGATGTGCTGTTATTGTAGACAAAAATGCTACATTTTAAACAGATATGCTGAAGCTTATGGTATATAATACATTTTCCATATATACCGTGCCAGTGTTAATTAATGTAGCAAATGTACATACTTTAATCATAGGTTTCCAGTCAGTCTGTGTAAAGAAGGACAGTCAGTAAGTACTGGAATCCCTAAGGCGCTGAAGCCTCTCTTGCAATTAACAGCCTTGACAGAGATGAGTTTGTAGAAGTATATGTGCTAGATCTCATCTCCACAGCACTGAGTGGAGAGAGGGGTCAAAATTCCTCTGTCCATTCACCTTGACCTTGCAGGTGTCCTATTGCGTTGTTAAATGAGAAGAAAAAAACGCTTTTTCTAGGAATGAATTTGAAAGTGCAATAATTATGCCTCAAGAAAGGCAACTATGAGAGAAACCTAAGCCTCTGTAGGCTCTGTGTCTGAAAGTTTATCAGGCCAGTCAAGGTAGAGCAGGGGCGGAGCATCTGGTCCGCAGGCCGGATATGACCCGAGAAATCATTTGGTCTGGCCCTGCCAAGGCAACCGCAGTTCCAGCCGTCACATTAGGGGTGAGGTAATTAAATGTTTGACCAAATGTAGCAGACTAATGTTTAAGTTGATAGTTTTGTATGGCCCTAGAATGATGTTATAAATATCCAAATGCCCTTTGGCAGAAAAAGGTTTCCACACCCCTGAGATAGGGCCTTGGAACATTAGCCACAGACCAAACCTGACCACACAGGCACACTACCTTGAGTCACCTCAGCTGCGAATTAGAATTACTGGAAGAGCTTTTAAACTTCGTTGATAACTTGTTCCCACCACCTCTCATTCCTCCAAATTCTGATTTAATTAGAGGTGGGATCCAGGCTTTTTTTTTTTTTTTAGCTTAAAAAGTGATTCTAATAAGCCAAAATTCAGAACCACCAATATAGTCCAAAACCTTAATTAATTTATTTTTTAATTAATTAATTAATTATTTTTAATATATCTTTATTAATTTCAGAGAGAGGAAAGGAGAGGGAGAGAGAGAGACAGAAACATCAATGATGAGAGAGTCACTGATCGAGGCCACAACCCGGGCATATGCCCTGACCAGGAATCGAACCCTGATCGCCTGGATCCCAGGTTGACGCTCAACCGCTGAGCCACGCCCGGCCGGGCCAAAACCTTAATTTAATACACTAGAAAATAAAGCCAGAGATTACCTACTTTATTTATGCAGAAGTTTAGTGGCATGTTTGGAAGAAACATCCTGGTCAACTCCTTTCCCAGGCAGTCCTGTCTCCCAGCAGTAATCTATATCTCTCAGAGTGTAGAAATAAATGTAAGAGAGAGGACATAGAGGTCAGTATAGAAAGGCAAGTCCTGTTAGTAGGAGTTTGACCCCATAATTCAGGCCACTCCTCATGCAAGATGTGAAATAATTTTAGGAAGAGTGTGATCAAATATATCTGGTGTGTGTGTGTATGCATTTCAATAATAATGTATTTATTTTAAATGAAATGATAAAAGTACTGAGTTTACATTTGAAGCATTCCCATTAAAAATGTGCATATGTAGGTAAAAATATGTGGTGTTCTAAAGAAAAGAAGTAAATAAGAGTGTATATAGCATGTTATATGGCCCAAATCCCTATGGTGGTTTTCGGACTAATTTGGAAAACCTGGGTTAGGGCGACCTCTAGTGTCTTTTTGTGGAAGTGAAACACTCCCCCCCGACCCCTCCCGCCCTTTTAAAAATAACATTGCTAATAACATTGTTTTGGTATTTCCTGTCTCCAAGACTGGTTCCTACTAAACAACCTATTTCATATCACAAGTTGACCGAAACTTAATTTCTAAGTGAAGCACAAAGTTAATCTCTATAAGTAATAAGACATTGGCGTATATATTGGAATGGTGGTTCAGAGTTCTCCATGATCATTCATAGGCTAGACAGGATAGTGGAGGTAAAGAATAATAATTGAGGGAAGATAGGAGTGTTGGAAAAATCACACGACAGAATCAGGTGTATGAAATTTGGAGATCGACTACTTCCTAGATGGTGGCCAACAGAAAGCCATCTGGCTCCCCTGAGACTCCATTTCTTCATCTATAAAATGAAAATAGTTACACCTATATTGCAGGGGTGTCCTGAAGAGTAAAGAAAAATGTATCAAATGAGCAGTAAAGAGTACTAGGTAGCTATTTTTATTATCACGTGGGTATTGCCTACCTCTGTACACTGCAGAATTTTGATTACATTCATTTAATTTTAACATCAGGACTCACCTTTATTTAAACCTTGAGAACATTTGGTATTAAGGTTCTGTTTGCTTTAGACTAATTTCCCAAGATGATTTTTATTTTATACGGAGGTCTCATAGACAGCTATAAACTCTGAGAAAAACTTCCAAGGGACATTTAAGATTTAAGATGTAGGATTACCTGACAACTTACGTACAGTATTCACTGTGGTTTACTGTGGAGCCCTTTAAATAGAAACATCTTGGAGGCTTAGTAGCAGTTAGTGCAAGGGATATATTCATGGTCTTTGCCTGATGATCACCTTAGATGTGAGATTTTATACGTGGAATCTAGGATTCTGTATAAGTTAATGCCGGTATTGTGAATAGTTCATTGAGAATATGGAGCTCTGGAGGATTCCAAACTTTCTTCCCTTTTGCATTCAAGAGCTATCAGGTTTGTGGCATTATTTACTGTAAACAGACACTGTGTTTGGGGTTGACTCATAATATTTTAATGTATTAGTTATTTACCCAACATTTTAGTTTCACATGTCAAAATGACATCTAGGAATTTAAATAACTTTAAAACGAATGACAATTAAGTCATATTTTTTCTCCCATAAACTTTTTAAAGAGTGAAGTGTAGTGTCCACCTTCCCAGAAACAGTTTATATAAGCCCCTGTACTAAAGTTGATAGTAAAAGCGAAAGTTTAGAGAAAACTACAGTAGACCCATAATGTGGGGTCAACAGAAGAGTCTCACTGGCCTTTTGTTTTTCTGAACCTAATTTTGCTCTGCTCTAGTTTTGTGCAAGCCTGCAGAATGTGCAGAAGACAGCCTCACATCTCAGGAAGAACCGGGTGTGAGGGCCAGAAGGGATGAGACAGGGTTGCGATCATGAGATTTCCAAGGGAAAGACAAACACACTCTTTCCAAACCTACCCTCCTTCAGGAGACTGAGATTACAGGGATTAAACCCTCTGATGGCCAGTAGGCCCTATTAACAAAATGTGTTAGTCAAAGTAAATTAATTTGCTAGGGTAATGTTACCCTTTTAACAAGTTCCTTCTCTTGCCCCCAAGTCTCTGGTTTAGCACAATAGATTACTGCTTGCTCTCATCAGAGTCCAATGTAACTGGCTGAAAGAATAGGGGACTCTGCTCCATGAAGTGACTCGGGACCTATGTTCTTTCCATGATTTAATGCTGCCAGCTTCAATCCATGGACACCAAAGCCATAATGGGAGGAGAGTAACAAGCATGGGGTATCATGCAAGAGGTTTTAGCATGTGTCTGGAAGTGGCAAACAGCATTTCTGCCCACATTCTTTAGTTTAGAACTCAATCGCATGGTCCCAACTTTGTTGCAACGAAGATTGACAAATGTAGTCTTCCTGTGTGCTCAGAGGAAAATAAAATGAGTTTGGCAAACATATAGCATTGTCTATGCCACAAAACATTTAAAAAAAACACCTTGTCTTCCCTTGGTGTATTTTACCAAAATAGAAGGTACTGTCATTAGCTATATGTATTGTTAGACAATAATGAATATAAAATAGTTAATGAGTTAAGAGCTCAATGAGTCAGAAAAGCTAACTGAAAAGCATGAACTTTAAAAATTCCAAACTCTATCAAAATTGCCTCATAAGTCGATTTTTGCCACAAGTAGCCTTTTTATTGTAAAATTTTCTAAAATGTAATATTTTTACATAACATTTCTTTTTACTAGAGAAGGGTTATGTCATGAAGTTATTCTAGCATAAAAGAAGTCTAAAAGAAATTTAATAATGTAATGTTCATCCACTCTTTTGTCTTGTTTTTTAATAAAGGATCTCAGACAGACACGATGCTGCTAAAATATATAAGGCCAATACCTTGGAAAACCAACTAACCAATAGGTACCAGTATATACTAACTTTGGGAAAGGCTCAAGTTCAATATTTTTCTAAGCATTATTTATTTACTTACAATTCTTCAGTCCTACTTAATATCTTTCTGTAAACTCTTATCCTCTATTTTTTTTTTAACCCTCACCCAAGGATATTTTCCCCATTGATTGTTAGAGAGAGTGTAAGGGAGAGAGGGATGGGGAGAGAGAGACAGATAAACACCGATGTGAGAAAGACACGTTGAGTGGTTGTACGCGCCCCACCCGGGCTGGGGGTGAACATGAAACCCAGGTACGTGCCCTCCACTGGGAATCGAACCCGAGAGCCTTTGGTGTGTTGGCCGACGCTCTAAACACTGAGCCACACCAGCCAGGGCTCCTCTATTTTTTTTTTTAACACAAGTCTGAAGTAAAAACCTTTACTCCTGCTCATGGTTAGAGAAAAGTAAAACCTTGCTTCCTGGCTTAAACACCAAGAGAGCTCACTGCTTCAGGACATCATTCTTACCACGTTTATGTTCCTGTTTAAGTTATCCTGATGGAAAGATTATAAAAATTTCCATGGAAATGTCAATTTTTCATTCTTATTTCCGAACAGAATTACGGAAAAAATACTGAATTTTCTGAAAGAAAAATCTTCCTTTGTAATCTAGCATAAGACATAAAAATATGATAAAATCACATTACCAAATTTATTCAAATACTGATACTTTTCTTTCTGTCAGATAATATCAACCCTTAAGAATCATAATTCTAAATTCATGGACAATTTCAAATAGATGCAAATATTTGTTCTTCGTTGCTGCTCAAACTTTTGCCTTGTTTTTTTTTTCCTTACCAGACACATGTCTGCATTCAGATCACCAGAGGCAACAAAAAAGTATGTACTTTTCTATCTGAAGTTATGTTTTTAGAATAAAGTGTATCTCTTTGTATGTGTTAAAAAAACACACAAAAACTAGGGTATAATGCCCCCAGGCCAAAGTTTAATTACAATGCAGCAGAGGGAAAGAGTAGAAGGCCTGACATTGTCTGCAAAGCTTCAAATATTTACTATGTAGACTTTATCAGAAAAAGTGCGCTGACCCCTGCTCTTAACCAAACACCAAAGCTTAACTCTTTTTTCATTTTTTTAAAATCTAGATTTTTTTTTTCCCCCCACAGAACCATTTTATTTTTTTCTTACTCCTATGCAATTTGTTCATTCTTCCCCTACATTTCACATGCCTCTCCAAACACCCATCATATCTACAACCCAACTGAGTCATGAAATCATGAGTTTGTTAACAATCTATTTAGATGAAATATATTTTTCCTGGACTACTGGTAGTTATAAACTACCCAAACTAGGTAGATTTAAAAAAACTTTTTTTAAATCCTCACCCAAGGATATATTCATTGATTTTAGAGAGAGGGAAAAAGAGAGAGGGAGAGGGAGAGAGAGAGAGAGAGAAACATCGATTGGTTGCCTCCCATCAGGAATCAAACCCACAACCTAGGTATGTGCCCTGACTGGGAATCTAACTCAGCCTTTTGGTGTCCAGGATGACATTTCAACCCAATGAGTCACTGGCCAGGGCCAAACTAGGTAGATTTTTGAAAACTTGATTAGTTTTTAAATTTCTATTTACATATAAAGTCATTTTCACACTGGACCGAACCTTTCAGTCATTGAAACAGGACTGGGCCACTTCCATTTTTTGAGGGTCTGTGTATATTAATAAACACTAAATAGAGATTAAAAATGGTATAATTCTTAAATGTCTTCTTAAACAAACTAATGCTTTTAATGTAAAAACACTGCAATATAATTTTTAGTCATAATATAATTAGAGGATTAAAATACATATATACATTATACGTGTATGTGTGTGTGTGTGTGTGTGTGTGTGTGTGGCACAGCTGAATTAATGGGTCTGAATTTCAGACACACAATCAATGTCATATAATGAATGATTTCTTCCTTCAGTTCCCTCAGCTTTAGCTAATTAGATGAGAGCCTGTCCATTTATAATGTGGGTAAACTGAGGAAGAGCTTTTTGGCTGTTTGTTCCTCCGTCTTCGCGGGAGACATTCTGTGGCGCGTGGGCCGGGCGGAGCAGGGGCGGACGGGGAGGCCGTGAGGGTGGCACAGGACAGACAGGCCCGGGAACGTGACCGCTTGTTGTTCTTGTGATCCACCAGGCAACCCGGGGATTCCTTCAGCGCGACCACCGCCAGCACCCCCACTTCCACCTCTGCTGCAACCCCCGTAAAGAAAAAGAGGTACGGTGGGCTCCCTGTGTCAGCCTCCAAGGATTCCTCCTATTACTTACTGGACTGGCCCCCCCCAGGCCCAGCGGGGTTCGGGGCCCTGCCCTTCCTCCCGCTCCCGCCTCCCCTTCCCAGGGCCCAGGCCTAGACAACTCTCGTCTGCAGCTTCGGCCTTTCCCCTCCCGTCTCCCTTCCAAACATGCGACCTTTTCTAGGTACTGGATAGTTAGGTGTGTTTGTGATGACAGAGCCCCGATAGCCAGGCAGCACATTTTAGTAGAATCCTATCCAGGGGATGTCTGAGCCTGAAACCATGACCGATGCGGTCATGCTCCTGAGACCAGCCTGCTTGGTGGCGCCTCCTCTGCCCCGTGGGTGGGGCGGGCCCTTCTTCCAAGCAGAGATGTTGCTCTGTGCTTGTGTGGTTATTGCCTCCCCTCCAACTTCTCCTGCGAGGCCCCCCATTCTGTCTGTGCGGGGCTTATCCAGTGGGCTCGGAGAAGGAGCTAGACCTGTGGCAGGCCAATGTCGTCTGTGCCACGGCGTGGGTGGCGAGGGTTTTGCGTGCTGAAGAGAACACCGTGCTGGTGAGTCATGCCCCTAATGGACAACAAGCATCTGTGAGCCTCGGGGCTTTGAACAATTTCTTATCTCCTCTGCCTGCACCTAGGATTGTGCCTGGTGCAGGGCAGGGGCTCGGTGTTTGTTGACGGAGCAATTGGCTGACGTAGTCCCCCCGAGAGAGATGGCTGATTCTGTTTTTTTCTGCAGCTAGAATTCTGTTCACACCTACAGAGTCTCAGAAAATGTGATCATCTTTTTCTAGAACCCAAATTTGACCTTGCCCCGACCTTTTGTTAGAAACAGATTGCTAAAGGTAGGAGGGGAGGTTGAAGGTCTGTAAGTTTAAGGTCCATGAGAACGACCTGGGCGTCGTTCAGCGCCCCCTCTCCCCACAGGCTACATGCTGTTCGAGCTCCCACTTGCTTCTTAGGACAGAACGTGGCCTGTTCAGGTCGCTGAGGACGAGCTGAGCCCATTCAGCGGGGCTTCCCTTTTATAAACGATGGGATGGGTGGTGTTCCCTCCACTCGACACACCAGAGAGTCTTGATTCTCACCACTCTAAACAAGTACTTGTGCCTCCACTGTGATTTTTTTATACCTTCAACTTATTTTTGCCACATAACTTGTTTATTTATTTTAGTTAACATGCAATATTGTGTTAGTTTTTGGTGTACAGCATAGTGGTTTAACATTTATATACCTTACGAAGTGATCACCACAATAAGCCTAGGTCCCATCTGGCACCCACAAGCTTATCACAATATTATTGGCTGTATTCCCTTTGCTGTATTTTACAACCCCCGTGATTAATTTCATGACTGGCAGTTTGAACTTCTTAATTCCCTTCACCTTTTTTGCTCCCCACCCTCCTCCCATCAGTTTGTTCCCTGTATCTATAGTTTGTTTTTGTGTTGTTTTGTTAATTCGTTTATTTTGCTTTTTATATTCCACACATAAGCGAAATCATATAGCACTTGTCTTTCTCTGTCTGACTTTTCTCGCTTAGCATAATACCCTCAGGGCCCACCCATGTTATTGCAAATGGCAAAACTTTATTCTTTTCATGGCTGAGTAATATTCCATTGTATATATGCACTTCTTTATCCATTCATCTATCAGTGGACACCTAGCTTGCTTCCGTATGTTGGCTATTGTAAATAATGGTGCAATGAACATAGGGGTGCATATATCTTTTTGTATTAGTGTTTCAGTTTCTTCAAATAAATACCCAGAAGTGGGATCATATGGTAGTTACATTTTTAATTTTTTGAGGAATCTCCATACTGTCTTCAATAGTGGCTGCAACATTTTACATTTCCACCAGGAGCTCACAAGAGAGCATCTTGGGAAGGGCCCTGGTGCAGGCAGAGGGCAGCCACCATTGGGCAAGACCCATGTGGGTCTTGGGGCTGCTTAGCAGGAGCTATAGTGCCAGCTGAGGAAGAGACTGCATTATGAGCAGAGGCTGGCTGCTGCTTATGTAGAGGGTCTGAAGCCTCTGGAAGAGGCTCTGGCTGGGCAAGTGGGTCAGGCAGAGCAGGTCTCAGGGAATTATTGGAATTTAGAAAACAGTGTTACCCAGGTAATGGAGAGGGACAGATTTTGCCTTCACCTGTTCAGGGACAGCTAGGTAGGAGGAGAGCTCAACAAAGGAACAATGGAACCTGCCAGCACTTCCATCCCTCGAGAGAGTTCCCAACAGTCCTTGCCCTCACCCTAAAGTTAGTCAATTTAATGCTTCCTCCCACCTATAACCCATGCCTCTGTGCTGGAGCTTAGAGCCTGTGAGTGTGTGTGTGTTCCCTTGCAGGCCAGTGTCTCAGTCTTCCACAGACTTTTCTCTCTCTCAGATATAGTCCCTGCCAGATGTTATGGGGACTTCGTTTCCTGGCACAGGACTTCCAAAGCCAAGATATCCCTCCCGTTTATTAATCATGGGTGGGGGACCTGCCTGGATGGTGTCTCTGCCCCTCTTACCTGTCTTGATGTGGCTTCTTCTTTATATCCTTAGTTATAGGAATTCTATTCTGCTAGTCTTCAGGTGGTTCTCAGTGACGGTTACTCTATAATTTAGTTGTAATTTTGATGTGTTTGTGGGAGGAGGTGAACTCAGTTTACCCAGTCTGCCATCCTGTCTCTGCCTCGTGCTTCAGGAATTTAAAGCCATTCCTCTGTCCCATCCAAGTGCTTTCTGCTCTAGGCTCTGCCACTCTTCTCTGGGCATCATCATCTTTGGTTCATGGTTTAGTCTTTTTGGCAGAGCCCTTAGCTATCTCTACCAACTAAAATTATGCCCTAGTAATGGGAAAACACCTTTCTAATTGGATACATATGTATTTGTGTGCGTGCGTGCGTGCGTGTGTGTATAATTTGAGGTTATCCCTGCCGTGGTNTGGGAAAACACCTTTCTAATTGGATACATATGTATTTGTGTGCGTGCGTGTGTGTGAGTTTGTGCGTGTGTGTATAATTTGAGGTTAGCCCTGCCGTGGCGTTCGTTTATGTTTTTAACATTCTTACTTAGAGTTTTCTATCACACAGTTTTTTAAAAGCCATATTTTGACTAGAGCATAAGATTGTTGTTATTTTTATCATGAAATATTTCAGATATGCAGAAAATAGAGAGAAAAGGAGGTGTTTTTAAGATAAATACCCATAGACCTACTATCTAGGTTTTTAAAATGTTATTATTTTCCAGATTTCCTTCAGCTGTCTCTTTAAAGAAATGTCCACATTGTTTAGTGTTAGAGGAAGTGGGACAAGTTTACATAGGGGAGGAGATAGCACAGGGTACAGTAACTTTCTACTGCATGTATGAAATAGCTTTTATTTTACTTCTGAGGCCTTGTAGAAAACTAATCTCATTACCTCTTTTAGTGTAATTATTTTCAGCTTTTCCTGTAGACACGTGGGGTGGGGGAGAGGATCAGGCCTTTCAAGCACCAAGTTTATAACTGATGTCATCTCTTAACAGACAGTCCTGGTTTCCACCGCCCCCTCCAGGTTATAACACCTCTCCAAGCACAGGAGCAGGCAGAAGGTAAGGGAAAAGTGCCAGATGTAATTACTATGTAATTTGAGGGGACACTGCGTTAGATATTGACAATGTATAACTGTGGATGCTTTGGAATCAATTGGAGACAATTTTGTGAACTCTGAGCGCTGAACAAGACAGTGCCTACTGGGAGGGAGGCCAGGGTACAAGTGCCCTGGTCTGAAATCTGACAAGCTGCAAGGAGCAAGTAAGTAGCAGTATTAGTTTGCTAAGAGCTGCGGTAACAAAGTGCCCCAAACTGGGTGGCTTAAGAAAAATGTATTTGTCATAGTTCCAGTGGGCAGGAGTCTAAGATCGAAGTGTCGGCAGGGTTGGTTCCTTCTAAAGGCCGTGAGAGAGAATCTGTTCCATGTTCTCCCTTAGCTTCTGGTGGTTTCCTGACAACCTTCCTCATTCCCTAGTTTGCATTTCCATCATCCTGATCTCTGCCTTCATTTTCACATGGTATTCTCCCTGAGTGTGTGTTTGTGTCCAAATTTCCCTTTCTTATAAGGACACCAGTCATATCAGATATGGGGCCCATTCTACTCCAGTATGACCTAACCCTAACTTAACTAATTACATCTGCAATGAGCCTATTTCCAAATAAGGTCACGTTCTGAGGCGCTGTGCATTAAGGGCTTCAACATATGAATTTTGAGGGGAGGACACAATTTAACCTGTAAGAGTGGCAGAGGAGAGAACAGAATCAGCACCATGTGGGGCTCCCACATGGGCACCTGGTGCACCGCAGCTTCCAGTCTGTGGTGAACCCAGGCAACTGCATGGGGGTATGTGTGGCAAGTTCTCTGTAAACTATAAGTGATAGGTGGATGTTTTCTATTTTTATTTTTTTGTTTGTTCAGAGCAATAATTAAATTAAAATTATAGATCATGTTGGGGACAGTTTCCATACAGTTTCCATACAGAAATGCAAGCAACAATTTAATATATATAGAATAAGTGATTACTGTTTATGAGAAATGGTTCTAAGATCTTCTGATGTATTGGTGAATAAAACATGGAGTCTACACTATGACCTTCAAAGAAGCAGACACAAGTGTGGACACTCCTGTAACCTATGTCATCACTAACACATGAACAAAAACAGGTCTGCTATTTGGTTTTGCTTTAGGGTGTCCAAAGTTGTTTTCATGTCTTCAACCCCTAGAATATCTTACCAACTATTTTCATGCTTCAATGGGACTTATGTTTCCAATACAACAGTTAGAAAAGAGAGTTATTAAATGATGTGCTTGTTTAATATTAGGTTGCTTTATTTCTTAAAATTTTCATCTGCTGTGCAGGCTTTCAATGTCTCTTTTATTTCCAAATAATAGAAATATTTGAAAATAAGTGTCTTTGTTGTAATTTAGGTTGGATCTATTGGACATAAACTTTAGTCCAAGAATAGACACAAAGAACCCAAGTTGCTTTTCTCACACCTGTTGTTGCTACATATGTGTGTGTGTTATATTATTTGTATCTCTTATATTTATATATAAAATTATTGAACATACTGAATAACCACAACTTGGAATTATATCCACCTTCTGTTAAAACGTTTTCTTTTTAAACCTGCTCATCAGTAGCTGACTTCCAATTATATGAACTGCCAAGTACGGATTATATTTCTAGTTTAAGCCCTTCTTTTCCCTCCAGCTGTGTTTAGATATTTCTCTATGAGTGATACCTTTCATGGAGCTACCTAGGTAGGGAAAATTTTAACTAGGAGTTTTATTAGTTGCTATTGTTTCCTGAATATTAACAAATCCACCTAATTTTGTCTTGATAGACAATAACTGGTACTTAGAAATATATATTACTTATTCCAAAATAACTTCCTATTTTTGTCTTCTATTTATATTCCAATATTAATGTAAATTATCATTGTAATGAGCAACTGGTTATATAACTGTGTAAAAATATGGAAGGCTTATTCATGAGTTAACATCTCGTGTTTTCAATGCCCATTGAGCCTGTGGATCCTGCATAGAACTGACCGTTCTTGGCTCTGTGCCCTTACAATGAATGCATTGCTGGACATGATTTACATGGAAGATAAAATGCTCCTATTTCTGATTCCTGGCTCAGGTCCATAGCACCAGAACTAAGGGAAAGAGAAGACGATTGGACTAGGTTGATCAGTTGAGATATCCATTCCTTTTATGGAGCACAGATTACTAATATAACGGCTAACCTGAAGGCCTTCTCGGCAAGGATCCGACCTAACGCCATGCCGAGCTTTGCGGGGAGGAATAGAATGATGACAGTCTAGCAATGCCTTTGATTTCTAAAGTGCTTTACTTTGGAAGAGCTCAAAGTGCACCTTCTGCTTCTCACCTTTAATGCCAGTGCATTCCCAGAGCTGAGAAATGGCCTTTTTAGTAAAAGCTGAAAAATAGAGGAAAATATTAAAGGATGAAAGAAAGCTAAAGCTTCAAAAAGAGATCTTTGTCCCCAGAAGAGCCCAAAGAAAATGAAAATAGATGATCAAAAACAGATTAAAAATATGATTTAAAAAAATTCTCACCCTAAGATATGTTTGGTTTCTTAATTGATTTGAGAGAGAGAGAGAGAGAAACAGAGAAACTTTGATATGAGACTTTGATCAGTTGCCTCCCATCGTACATGACGGGATCAAACCTGCAACCTTTTGGTATATGGGACGATGCCCAAACCAACTGCGCCACTCAGCCAGGGCAAAAATACTATTTTTAAATAATAGCTAATAGCTCAATGCTAACCTATTTTCTTTCATCCTTCACTTATACGCTGGTCTCCTCCCCTCACTCTCCCCTCCCCTCTTCTGCAAAGGAATTTCCCTTAACACTGACATGCTCACTCTCTTTTCTGTTCTTCCATTTGTCAGCCTTTGTTTTTTCCCCATCACATAATCTTTCTCAGAGATTTCATTTCTCCCACACACCCCTGTCTGTGCCGCACATTTGAAAAGACCTCCAGACACCCCAATCTTAGAGGAATGAGTATTTTTACTGAACTTTTTAACCCTTGATTTCTCTGTGGCCTTTGAAGCCCTGGGCCACCCCACCCCTCCATTGCTCCTTTCTGGACTTACACAGTCTGGGACACTAAAATTTAGTTGTGTTTGGATTAAAATCTATTACAGGCATGATGTAAGCTATCCCAAAAAGGTCTCGAGCTTTTTTTTTAATCAACAGAAGAACCCATGATATCACACCTTGATTAATATTTATATGTGTACCTATACCTATGACTATATAACTCTGTGTTTATACCTATATCTATTTTTATATCTACATCTATAACTATATCTACATATAATTCTACACATTCAATTAATATAAGGCTGGTGAATTCAACTAGAACCTAAATGATAAAAATTAATTTTAGAAAATAACCATAAATTATAACTCAATAAAAAAAGCAATTTCCTAAAACAAGTATTGTTTTATGTAGGACATACATTAGTTTTTCAGTGAAAGGGTTAAGAGCTGTGTGATCAAACACAAGTTTGCAGTTAAGAATTGAATCTCTTTGAAAGCCTCTGCCCCCTTTTTGATAAAACAAGATTAAAGAGAGAAGTAGTAATTCATGTTAACAAGACATAGTGTGTAAAGTTTGGAACTTAAAGGAAACCTCTTCTAGCTGATTTCTAAGGTAGCTCCTTGGTCATCGGGATATAAATGTTCTCTGACTTTCTCTTTCTTCTCTTGCTGAGAAGGGAAACTCAGCATAGTGTTTCCAGTGACCAACCTATGTCAACAAGGTTATTTTCTCTGAAACCTTCTATCTAAGGCCATCAGAACCTATATAT